GGGTGGTGGGGGGGGGTTGTGGATCTGGCCCCCAAAAAAAAAAAAAAAAAAAAAAAATGGCGGTCCCGGCACTTCGGTTCACTTTAAATCGCCATAGCTGTACATTAAGCCCTTTATACCGTGCTGCCACGTATGTGTGCACGATGCGCATGCGCACTGTGCTAGCAGCGCCTTCCACCCCTCGCCCGCAGCACAACGGCTCCGGCTCACACAATGCATAACAGGAGCTGGTAGGACGGGCTCCCAATCATGTGACCCGCCAATCGCAGTGATCACATGATCAGGAAGCCAATGTAATGTATAGGGCTGTAAAGTAGGTGTAAACCCCAACAGGATGACCATTTAGTTTGCTCTACATCATTTGTTCCATCTCCATGCTGCTCACCTCCAGCTGCCTCTTTGCATCCACTTCCTGTCTACATGCACTACAATGATGGCTGCATGGCGACAACAGCGCACTGTCTGTGTAATGAGCATGGAAGCTTGTGGCCGCCGCTAGGGGTTGCATGCGACAGGGTGACAACACAGGAGCACAGTTAGGAGACTGGGACAGAGCGTTGTCACCCTGTAACAGGAAGTGCCTATGCAAGACAATGGCAGAATGGTCAGGGATTACTCAATGACCACTTGGGGCTACATGTGACAACTCAGGAGCACAGTTGGGAGACTGGAACGGAGCGTTGTCACCCTGTAACAGGAAGGTCCTAAACCAGGCCAAATGGTCAGGGATTACTCGGGGACCACTAGGGGGTGTATGTGACGGTGACAGGAGTACAGTTAGGACAGGGAACAGAAGTCCGGGGTTGCTGACCATTGTCAAGTGCACTGGTGTGAGAAGAAATTTGGAGTTGTCATCAGAACAGGAAGTGAGAGAAAAACTGTCTAGGAAGGCATTTCTTTCACTTCCTGTTTACAGGAGAAGGAAGTGAAATCTCCCTAATAGGTCACAGTCGGGTTTAACCCTCCGAGGGGTCGTTTTAATGTAAAAGTAACAATGAATCCAGACAGGAAATGTAACACGGAGAGGATGAGGCGATCCCGGCATTTCCATCCCCCCCCCGAGCAGATGTGGTGGAACGATCGCCCCCGTCACCGTAGGATATAACCGTGCTGTGTGAGTCACGCCGATTCCCAGCGCTGTAAATGCGTATTTTGGAAGGCGATCACAGCGCCATTCACGGCATCAGCCTGCAAGTGCGGACGCAGCCCGAGAGCCGCCGGCCCGCTTATTGATTCCGCCTGCTCGGACGCATGCCGATCTACGTGTGGAAATTCTGTGTCATTAAATAAATAGATCCGTCATAAAGTCCATTGTGTTCTCTCTCTCCAGGTGCCGGGCTCGGCCTGGGGATCGTGTTCTCCGTTGTTTTCTTCAAAAGTGAGTATTTAACCCCTTCCTGTCCCTCCCCCCCCCCCCCCCGGAAACCCC